TCCAGACGGAGATTTTGTCTCGTAGAATTGGCAGGGTCTAGGGGGGAACACCTGACCTTATTTTAGTGAAATCGGGACACCGCCTGTTTAATCGACTGGCTGTGTACATGTACGCATTTCGGAGTTGATTCCACGTGTTCGCCTCCTGGCAGAAGTCAGAGTGTATGTTAATTAAATAGACCTGAAATAGGAGCGTTTAGTACGTAGTTCGCATAGAATATCGAGCTTACCTATGTAGGCCAGTTATATTTGTGTGGACATGTGCGGGAGTGCTACCGAAATACTGAAGGTACGCAAAAGTGGAGAAGGCCTGTACATTATTCATGCCCTTTTCGAGGCTTTGCTTCATCGTTGGCCATGTTGTTAATTTATTGAAAACGCGCCACGTGCTGCATATTGGATAGAAACAGAAATTATTACCCACGTATTTCCTTATTATTGTAGCAGATAATGTTTTAAGTAAACGTTGTTGGAATAACGATATGTATAATTTATATTATGTTCCAATAATTTTATATGATGAACCGTTTCTGATAGAAGTGATGAAGCTCATTTTAACTTCATATAAAGTGTGGGTTATGTTGGACCGATTCGAACAAGAATTAAATTTGCCAAAAATCTTTTATAGTGATATTTGAGGTTCTCACGGTGATGGTGTCAATGCTGGTCTGGGTAGTAGTGCTGAATGAACTCGTAGGTATATACCAGCGTTTCAGAGAAACATATTAATTCCATCTTCAGGGCTTAAGTTAATTTGATATCTACGTGCAAGTCAACACTGCTTCAGTACCCGGAATACAAACATCAACAATTTGCATAGTCTCAGCCCTCGCTGAGAAGCTCAGTCGATTTGCCTTGTGTTGCTGACGCACTGATAAGATCCCCTCTCACGTGTTTACTTCTTGCATGTGCAAATAATGCAGTGAAAAAATACATTTTCATAATACTAGAAACGACTCCCAAAGTCATGTTCTTCAGTTTAAGCGAATATTTTTGTAGCTTGTGAGAAACTGAATGAAAATATTTGTCTGCTGAATCACGATATTGCTCCGCTGCTTTGTACATGGTATACCATGAGCTCTTATTTCTGGAATATGAGATTTATTCTACATTTGTTCGCAGATAAGGAAGACGCCATCTTTTATATTCTGTTTTGTTGCTATATTTGAATGTATACATTACAAATTGCGTTTTTACAGCTAAGTACCTTTACTAATATAAAATAATGGTGGCAGAGTGGCCAATGAGGTCTCTAAGAACGCATTTGGATGTGTTTGTAGACCTTATTCCATTTGGCAAACTTAATTTTGTTTCCATGTCATAGTATCGATCGTCGAAACCCCGAAATCGTAACAGAAGCTGATTATGACGTCTTCTGTTCGAATGTTCCAAGAAAATGATATAGATCGTGGTGGATGAGATGGATTACCAGCTTACAGAAGGAGTTGTCTGTAAAGAATTCATTGTCCTACAGCAATCGATCTAAGTTGAACGGGGTCAATGCAATGTAGAGTGCGCATTTATATCAGTATTGCCATTCTTCAACATGATCAATGATTCACGTCAGTTTGTATGGTATTATACAGATCGGCTTGAACTTGAGATGTTAATACAAGTCTAGATGTCTATGATTCCTCATGGCTAACGTATTATTCAACGTCCACTGTTCTCACCTCCTCTGTACAACGCAGCGTTTATGAGATTATGATTCCGATGCATTCTTGAGAATCTGATAGTCCGTTAGCTGGACAATAAATTCTCCGCCTCTCATGAAACCCCGGAGGTCACAGGACCCTATCTAGAGCCACATGAGTCCAGAACATACCCTCGTACTCTATTTGAGTCGTTTCAGTGTTTTTTCTTTCCTCATGTACATGGCTCCCAAGCAGTCTCCAGGTTTTCTCGTTAAAATTGTGTTCACATTTATCGTGTCTCATGTCACCCCGCTCTTGGTTTGATCGTCCGAATAATTGGTGAATATCGATTTTAGAAACTTCTGCTGTAAGAAATTCGTCTGTGCTATGCACGCCCTTTCTGTGAACCGATGAGTGATGTTATGTAACGTAAACCAGTAATATACTTCGCCAAAAATTTGTAGGAGACTCAAATTTGCAATTGTCATTGTCGTTAGGTTAAGCCATTTAAATTAGGGGACATTATTTTCGTTCGGTGCATGTAAATCATAACTCCTTACCCAACAATGGGCTTCTTTTTGCAGTAAATAAATTTCAAGGTTAATTACGTAAGCAGAATAGCGTCGAACGTGTATGCACTCCTGGGCTGGTGTTCATCTTTCCACAACTAACTGCAGCTAGTAAGCAGCTGGTGATGCTAATTACACACATTGGCGCAGCTAGGGACGGTGTTTCAGAACGGTCGGCGGACAATTTAGTGTCTTAATAATGAAAATGTTTACGACCGCCAGGCTTGTATAATTTAGAGGGACAGCAGTGCCTCGCCTTTGTATGACGTCACATCCCAACCTTGTTCCTTAGTGATCAAGTTAAAGTTTTAGAATTATAAAAATTTTGGCTAATAATTTGTTATTCAGACTCACTGACGTAGTTAGCCTTGGGGGAACTTTGGAATAAACGATTTGGCTGAGTTTTGCGCTTCGCTCCTAGGTTTTGTGTCGCCATTTTGGTTTGGTTTAAATCCTTGACTTTTATCGTCCAGTCTGGCGTGTTTGAGAAGAGACTGACAAATTCTGAGAATACAGTGAACTTAAGATAAGAACCACAAACTTCCGGAGACTGTGTTATTTTCCACGTTGTGGCATTTCCCGCCGCCTGAGACTTGGATTCGCCAAAACATTTCGCTACTAATGTTTTCCTTTGTGTGACTGAAATTCTATTGCACTTAAAACTGAGGATTTAATTTCTCTCATTTATGTAATAGACCTGTGTATTTTCTTAAAATGACCAGATTAATAAGTGCAGATACGAGGGTTAAATGGCTCAACCATTGTTTAGGATGAATTTCGTTATGTATGTATGTATGTCAGTCGGAGAACTATGAAATGAAATTTGTGAGTTGTAATGAAGAAACAGAAAGTTGGAAGTTTTATGAAAGACGATTATTTTCAATATAATTTCGAAATTATAAAACGTTTTTAAAAATTTGTATTTAATCCTTGATAAATGTATCAAAATTAGACCTAACATGGAACATGGCGTATATATGACATTTGAATAGAGCGATATTAATTTAGGAGATAAGATTAGCAATATTTAGAATGTTGGAAATTTCTACTGTGGAGATGTAATCAAAGAAAGGCGGGCTGGGGATGTATCACGCATTGAAAAATTAATAAAATTTTAACGCTGAAAGCCAGAATGGATGACCACTTCGAGGACGTAGGCGTAGATGGAAGAATAAGATGATAATGTTGATTGGATTAAGTCTGGCTGAATGTAGAGTCGAGTGACGAACTTAACGATAATTAATTTTCGATTTCATAAAAGCCGAGAACTTTATTTACTAGCTGAGCGACTGTTAACTTCTCAAGAAAGTTTGTACTCCATGCGGTTCGACAGAATGTGTTAATGCCTGTGTAACTTTGTAACTTTAAAATTATTGACCATTACAGATATATTGTTATATTTGCTTTAAATTTGAAGTCTGGTGATATACGAAATTTCAGTCGCAGTGAGCTTTTGTGCGTGGGGAACATTTTTACGCAAACATGATTAATTTTCCAGGAATTTTTGCACCTTTAGTAGTCTCTGAGCTGGAAGAAATATGTGCCTTGCATGCATTAGTATGTTTGGGGATACCATGTGCCGATCTTCACTTTAGTGTTTTTACACGCTTTGGACATTGGCCACATCTTGTAGTTTTTATCTTAAATAAAACATCGCGTGCTTTTAAATTCGTACGACTCCGTCAAATGTTTCAAATTAAAAATAGCATTTACATTCTCCTTGAAGATGAATGTGTAGTTGTTTTTTTCACGCCATTTGGCTACGCAGTTTGCAGTTAGTTTGCTTAGTTGAAAGGTGACCTATCAAGGTCGTTGTCGTCTTTGTGCATTAGTGGGATAAGACCATATTTTACTTTTCCCGTGGCTTTAGAATACATTGTATAACCTTCATGTAATTCGACAAAATTAGCAGCAATTGAATTGTGCTTTTATCAGTCAAAATAAAGATCACAGCAACCAAATTAGAAGGGGGATATTCAATTATGTGTTTTCAGTCTTAAATATTGAAATCTTTAGTCCTTCACGTTGCGTTTGAAATAGAGGGAAGATTTATTGACTGTAGTACAGTTCTTGTTTAAGGGGTGTAACATTTTTAGAATGCGGGTCACATTGGGAGGTGTGAATGTCATTGCATACGAATTTTAAGTTTTGATATCCAGTTGTGAGCGCATTACTGTTTGTTTATTTCATTTGGTTGAGTTATTTGTAATAATTACTTGAATTCATTAGTATGTACGGCAACTTTAAACCACACACCTTTATTACGGGAACCGGCTGTGCTTATTTTTCGACAGTCTATTTAATATTTGTGAAATGTCAAAAAATATTTGAGAAAATAGCTGGTTGTATTTCATTCTTGTGTTGGCCTGACTTTTACAAGCAACATTACCCAATAGCCTGAATCAAATGCGGGCTAAGATTTCGACAGACAAGCAAATCTTTTCACTTGTCTGTTCGTACGTTTTTCAGTCTACAAGTTTCTGAGCAGTATAATCCACGATAAAATTTTGATAGTTTCAAAATTACTGTAAAGGATTGGGATTTGTTTGGCA